CAACATAGTTAGATACCTATCTACTGCTGAGAAGCCCATTTATATTTGCTTACAGTGGTCAGTGAATTAAAAAGCATGTTGATTGAAGGAGGAGAAGCAAGTATAGCTACTTGCCTATAGCTATTTAGCAATAAAATACATGTGGCTTTGTGTATTTATATTTTAAGTGTGACAATCACTCCTGTGGTTTTTCTCTATGTGTTTTCTTTTCTTCCAAAGTTTACCATTGATCTTATGATGACAAAATCGGGAATAACGATGGACAGTTCTTAAATGGGTAGACTAAACATTCGGAACGTATTACCTTAAATGACAAGAAAGGCTGTAGCCATGAGGACCAGAAAGGTTTAGCCAAATTTATACATGATAGATTGATAGATACTAAGAAGTTAAGGGAGACTGAGATGCTTTTCACCCACTAAACTTCCACAAAACACAGTTCATATTCTAGGAATACAAAAGAGATAAGTGTGAGCAGGGAGGGAGTTACTCTAACTCCTGTGTACACGAGCATATGAATCCTATTTAAGACACATAAAATTGAGGTCAAATCTTATTGCATGGTTTATATTCAGGTTTTCCCCAGTGGGATCTGAACTTCTTGGGGCAAGTGTCCTGTTTGGTTTTGCATCCTCAATGTCTAACCTAGAATACAACTTAAGGAGGCATTTAATAGGACTGCTCAATTGCTGAAAGAGTACTATAGACTTATCATCCTTATAGACTTATCATCTTAGTTCTTGAATTCTGGTTCTCAGCTCCATTCCAATATTGAAAATGTGTTCTCAAAATGTCACTAAAAGCTCCCACATAGCAAATCATTGGTCTTTACCCATTTTTGAGTCTACCAAAGCATGCCTCTGTTGAAAATACCTCGTTTCTGCCTTCTTAAAACTTCCCTCTTCTTTGGTTTTAGAACAGTATCTTGATTCTCCTCCCACCTGCCCAACAGCTCTTTGTCTATCTTCTTTGCTAGCTCTACTTTTAGCTGCTAAGTGGAATCATTTTTCACGATTCTGTTTTTGAATCAGTTTTCTCTTCATAGTCACTCTAACAATCTCTTCTATTTCCACACATGACCAGAAATATCACAAATGCAACCATTTTGTGATGAATTCTACATCTGTATCTCCGAGAAACTTCTGCAATTTTGACTTCAATACTCTGCTACACTTGGTTTCACTTGCCTAAAATTGAATTTGTCTTCTTTTATTATCATTACTGCATTTCCTACTCTTACTAATCTTCCCAACTATCCAACCAATTTTTGACTACTGATATTCACCCTCCCTAAATTATGTTCTTTGACTAAGAACATGATAGAATCCTAAGATATCACTCATTCCTATAAATTAAACATCTTACTATGTATCATTTGTATTCCTCCACTGTTTAAAAACCATCAATATATCACCATTACCTAAAGAGTTATATGTTAACACCCTAGTCTGCCATTCACTATTCTATAATGTGGCTCCCATCTATTTTTTCAGAATTATCTCCATTCTTTTACACTGTCTATCTCTTATTTTCTTACTATTTGCCATGCCCCCAAAATACTTTATGCTTTCTTACCTCTGCATTTTTAAAATGATATTTCATGACAAAAATTCCCACTGTTGCACTTCCAATTCCTACTGCTAAAATCCATACTCATCCTTCCAAGCCTTTCCAAGATCCTTTTTCTGATAACATCTAATCTGGCAATAGCTTCCTCTTCTGAATTTCTATAATATGTTATTAACATCTCTTGTACAATACCTGTTACTATATACCTTATTTTGTAGTATTTCTGTACTTCTAACTTTCCTACAGAGACAAGGTCTTATAGTTAATAAATCTTAATAATTTCTACATCTTTCATGTCTGGCATAGTATTTTTCAGTGATCAGTGGTACAAAAACAAAAAAGATAATAAGGCCCCTCCTTGGTGGTGCAATGGGTTGAACTGCAGCACTGCAAGCTAGGCACTCCCGCTTCTCTGTGAGTTTGATTTGATTCCCTGCCCTGGAAGTGACTCTCATGGCACAGCAGACCTCTCCTGTCTTGCCCACTGCTCCCCTCAGCAGTGTAATTTATCAGTCTGCCTGTTCTGCCCCCCACTCTGTCTTTAGTGAATCCTCTCACTGCCACTGCACTCTGGCCTGTACTCCAGGTTCTGTACACATAAATAAATAAATCTTAAAAAAAATAATGAATTTTTAGGGGCCCATTTTCTAATGTCTGAGTTTGATATCGGCAAAGTTGTAATCTGGATTGATATTTAGCCAGTATCAGCACTTCCATAGTGGCTATTTACACTGCCTGCATCCATTCAGACTGGTTGGAGCCTGTGTTATACCAATTATTAATATTTTCAAAATCATTCCTAATATGATAGTCTCCCTTAAATGATTTTTTGGTGCTCCTGACAGCAACAGCACACTTGACTGAATGGATGAGACAACATCTGGGAGAACCTTCTGAGTTACCTAATGTGCTAACTTTTGGGGAGGGGACATATGTTCAGCGTAGATTTGTATTTGAAGCAACTAATCAAACCATATATGAAGACTGATATTCTAATGAAGAACACAAAACATCACCTCATTTTGTTTAAATATGAAATTGAAAACACTGCAGTTATAAGAATAATTGTAGAACTCTATTCTATATACTGTAATTTCCATCAATAAGTGATGATAATGGTGATAGACAGCAGAGCAGTAACTCTTTGTTTGTAGTTGACTCTGATTTCAGATTTTTTTTTTGGTATTGCCTCTTAATTTGAGTATATAACCTTAATAAATTTTTTTTCTCATTACCTTGAAGTGGAAGATACAGGAAGACTAAGAATGCCAGTGTTGAACAGAGAAGTATAACAATATAAAGTCAATTAAATATTGGAAAATACCCAAATTGCAAAACAGAACACAGCAGGGAAAGATAATTTTGTCAACAAAGGCACAAACATAGAGGAAATTTAGGAAAGTCCTCCATTTTGTTGCTTCTAGAATAAGACAAAAAGACAGGAGATTTGAACAAGTGTTAGCTCTATGCCCATTTTCCCTCACTTCAAGCCCTTCTACTGATGTCCAAGGCACCTTATCAACCATAGTCACTGTTTTCTATGTCTTTTTACCTCTGGATATTTGCATTGGCTGTTGCAACTTGAAATGTTTTTTTGACCCAAAATATTTTTGACCCTAGGTTCATGGAGGCACACTAACTAGAAATGAAAGGAGATCTTAATTTAGGTAACTTGGAATCAGTGCTCTAAAATTATGCAGCTTGTGAATATAGTCTTGGTGCTTCACAGTTGACAGCACTATATTCCCTTGAGCACCAAGCTCACAGAATCTCTATAGAATGACTTCTCCCACTACAATCTTTCTAGAGTCGTATGAGGTGTAAGACTAATCAGACAGGGCCTTAGCAAATGCATTTTAAAAATAAACAGCTTAGAAAGATTATGGAAATTCTTTTTGGCACAAAATAATATGATTTTACTTATCAGCTGCTTAACAGAAAGCTGAAATGATGGAATTTTTTTTTTTCAGTTTGCTTTTTAACTGACTATTAATGTTCTAATCAAGAAAGAACAGTGAAGGTTTCCACTTTCCTTAAAAGTTGGATGAGACCAGTGACAGCATGGTAGAACATTCTTATTTTAAAGATAAGGATTGAAGATAGATGGGAAGACTGTCTTGTAGTTATAGATTAGCAGTGTTTCTAACATTTTACTACGCAGTATTAACTAAAGAATTAACATGAATATATACATATAGAAATCAATATTCTTCAATTCAGTCTGACACACTGTAGACCATCTTCAATGTCTTCATACATAAAATACTGTCTTATACTCCAATCAAAACACTTCTCTCTTCTCAAACAAACAAAGATTGACCCAAATGTGAAAAAGGTGAATATAATTTACATTGTTTCCTGTCATGAACTTCACTATTGCCAAAATTTTTCCTGGACAACTCTGCATTGAGTTCTGATTCTTTCACTGGTTTGTTGGAATACAATGGTTTTTTTGAGAGTCACCAATTTTCATTCAAATTACATAATAGTTTTCAGTTCAAATACAGACTATTTTTTGGTAAGCAAACAATTCAAGGCAAATCTTACTAAATTAAATGAAGGAGTGTTTATATATTTGCTATTCCTTTCCTTTTTTCTTTTATTTCTATATGTAACTTTATAGTCTATAAAAAGGACTTTTAAAAGCAGCACAACTGATTTCTTCTTCTACTTTGAGAGTGAGGGATGAATTAAAATTACACAATCTCCCAAAGAGTGGGATAAATAGCTCAGACTGTCTGGATTATCCTGTGAGAAGCTATTATTTACCTTAGTCATAAGGTAAACATCTTATGAGAGGGGAACATCTTTTTAATTAAAGGTTGTTTTTTCTCCTCTGAGATCATGTTTCGTAGTATGGCATTACAACAAATCGCAATCACACCCAAAAATGTGTTTGAATGCTTTGGTACTTTGAGGGCTTTTGATTATCTTTGCCTCTTCTCTCCATGGAGAATGGAGAATTCTTGCACTGCAAAACCCAAAGCAAAGACTAGAAGGTGACTAGAAAGAAGCATTACCTCACTTACCTTACATGTTAAGAGCTATTGTAACATCCTTACTTTTCATAATTTAATATTTGTTTTTAAACCATCTTTTACCCAAACCACATACTTTTAAAACAATAATTTAAAATATTTATTATTAAACACAGCAAGAATGCTTGATTTTGAATTTTTTCTTTGGGGGGGGGGGAAATGTCATCTCCCCCCCACCACCACCACCAAAGTCTACAGTTACTTAAAGATACTTCTAGGAAACTGAAATTTGTTATCACTTACCTGTAGTAGTCTCCTGATATTTCACACATTTACTGGTAAAAATACTCACAGGAATGTATTTTGTTGTTTTTATTGCTGTTGTTGTTGCTTCTGGTACCTGACCACGTGCATCATGTTTTACAATACCACGTGAGCTGTAAAACGTTTTACCTGGATTCCTTGGAATTCGCTTCCGGCGGTCTCGGAATGCTGCACCCGATTGTAGGGCTTCTAGAAGATTATCCATCACACCAGTCTCATCACCCTCTGGAGGAAGGGAGAATTGGAATTAATCTTGGAGCAATTAAAGTTAAACTACAGGAAAATAAAGGGAAAAACTCCTGTCAGATTTACATAATACCCCTAAATTAAAGACATATATCTGTTTTAACATAATGGATCCTGTCAGTTTCTGGAACCACAGACTACTTTGCTTATTACGCACCATTAAGCAAAATTCATGCCAATCCCACTGTTCTTTCAACTTAAAGACCTTGTCTTTTGTATTATTGATGACACGCTCAGTATGCAAATAAACAGTAGCTGATCAGCTACTGCTGCCTTCCTTTTAAGATTCTTATAAGATATTCCTAAGCAAGAAACCACTGACCCAGCTTAATGCAATCAATGCACAGGGCGTGATTTGATGAAGCAGAGTTACACAAGGTTAAATACTGATTGTATTAACACCTTCAACATTCAACCATCATCTGCTATTATCTCACAAGACACAATTTGCAAAACATATTTGCATTCAATTCTTACCTAATCTATATCCTTTACCTATTTCAAAATGCTGATACTGTAGCAGGAAAAGGTGACCACATTGTCTAAAAGGCCACATATTACATTTGTGAAACAATAGCCAGAGTCACATCATCCCATTTAGAATGCTGTTGTGTTTCTTTTCTTGTGGGAAAGAACTGTTAAGAATCCATGAGCAGAGTACTTAAAAGATGTCTGTGGAAATTTCTAATGGAAACACGTTTAAAACATTTCACTCCACTCTTATCTTTGATGGCTCTAGTCATCAAAAACACCTTTAAGATTTGTTAGAACATTTGTCTCCAGTTGTCAATTGCCAAAAACTCTCTATTACATTGAGCAATCCACAATGAGCTGCGGCCCTGTGTCCTAACTGGCCTAGCTGATGAAAAGGACCCTAACCTAACGTGCGGTGAGTTTGAGCGGCAGGTAAATGTGTGGGTCTGAGGTAGCCAACATATTTAGACAGGAGAATAAAGAGGAGAGAAAGGGAGAAATAAAGGAGATGAAGTTGTTTGACACTATTCCAAGGTTAAATTTAAATCCTACTTTGTTTAATGAACTGAGCTATAGTCAGTATTCACTTATAGGATAAGAACAAGCTAAAATCTTCTTTGATAATTTTCTTCATTTAGCTTGAAATTTCTTCAATGTTGCAATCATTCTTTTTAAATGAATTCTCTAGTATAGGAGATGAATGAAAAAAATAATAGGAAACACAGAAGTCTTAGGTCTAATACTTGGTGAGAAGGAGAAAACCAAAGGACGGTAGAATCTGAGTAACTAACCAGGAAAAGGGGATTGTGTACTTGTAGGAATATTAAGCCTGCAGATACACTGGCACCATTATTTGCTCTTTAGAATAGAAAGACAAAAGGAACTGCAAGGAGTTTGGTATGCTTATATCCAGGACAATTTTATGCATAAGTTCTCATTACATGTTATATATCTTAATTCTCAAAAACAACACACTGAAATAGGTATTTCTATTTGTTTTTCAGCCTGGGATACTGAAATTTACAGTTTAAATATCTTATTTGAGATTATACCACTTGGCATGTGGAAGAGTCCAGATTTGAGCCTAGGTCAGCCTCTAGGTATAAACCCAGATTCACCTGACACCAAGACCAGCCTATATGACATGACAGCTAGCAGATGATGAAATAACTAGGCACATGGTAGCCAGATGATGATGTAGGTAAAATTATTATATTACTAAATATTTAAAATCAAACACTTAATTTTACATTAAATAATTAAAAATTAAACACAAATTATTAAATATTTAACTTAATGCATACAGAATTATATATTTAATTTTTTTATCAGGTAGTCATCTGTGTATTTATTTTTATACATTTCACTTCATATTAGCTGTGTTTTGAGTGCACAACAGTTTCATGTGACTACTTACTGTATTATTACACAGCACAGTTATAAACATTAGAATGACTTGATTCGATTTACACTTTACAAAGACTTATCAGAGGACTGTGGAGAATGACTTGGAGGTTGGGATGACAGAAAGGAGGGAAAATTTAGGAATGTAGAGTGATTTTCTAAGTAAGAAATAAAGGCCTAAACTAAAGGGACAGAGGAATGAATGGAGAGGATAGATATTTTGAAGATATTAATGTAGTCAACAGAACTTGGCTAGGAGGGTGACTGAGAAGGAAGGAAGGAGTCTAGCTGAACTGTAATAAACAAGTTTGAGAAAATATGATTTTCACTTTTTTGAGATACCCAAGGAATATCTCATCAATATCTGGGAAGCATTTGAAATATGGGTACAGAATACAGGGTTGATGTCTGGATTGGAGCTAATGATTTGAGTGTCTTTGCAAGCTAAGATTACCCTGAGAAGAGAAGGGGGTACAGGATGCAATTTCCATGGATGCCAACTTTTAATAGGCTGTCAGGAGATGACAGCCTATTCCTTCCCCAAAGAGAGGGAAGGAATTTTTAGAGATCTAGACATATAACAAGGAAAGAAGCACACTTACAGTGGAATTTCCTTACCCTTTTAAAAACAGTGTTTAGAAAGACAATATAGAGTGCTGATTATATAAATACATATACATAAGTCAAAATACAATAGCATACTTATGATTTAACATACATAATATGCAAATGTGAAAAATTAACATGGCAACATTATGGATATTATTTCATTAAAAGTCTCTAATGCTATTTTATACGGACTAAGAAGATAAAGACCAATATGACAAACTACAGAATGAAAAGTAATGCTTTTGATTAATTTAGTGGTTGCCATCTGACAACACTTATCAAAATTACGCTACATCATTGTATCTTAATCTTTTTTATTATTACAATTTTCACCTCATCACAAGAAGCATTTTAGACATCTGTTTCCTGATGCCCACATCATCAAAATATAACACCACAAATATACTATGTAAATATTCTTGTTATGTAGCCCTTTAGAGGGCCATAAGCCATTGTAATATTTAATATTACTCCACCAATCTCAAGAACCAATACTCATGTTCTTGGATTGATACAGCCCTGGCTGAAAAGGAAAGTGCTAAATGGAAATGTCAAAAACAAAACAAACAAAACCCAGGCCATTATAAAGAGCACTGATATTTTAAAGGACAAAAATGTTTCAGGCCACCATTACATCTTTGTTTGCGTCATGATAATTATCAAAAGTGAGAAAATTTCATGAAATGTCTAAGCCTAAGGGACTTAAAGTTTTATGACTATATTGTAGAATTGATTTATATTTCAGATAGTAGCAAACAACTAAAGCAAAATGGAAGCCAACACAGTCATTGAAAGTCATTCATTCTTCATTATAAATCAATTTCAGAAGAAATTGATATATGATTGAATTGTGGGAGATTGACAGTTCACTTAAAGATTTTCAAGTTCTTAGAATATTTATTCTTACTTAGATGTAATTAGTAGTGAATAGCTATTTTTAATTTTTGACCTATGAGGTCAAACTCAGGGGAAGATGTTGTAAGCAAGTTTTGTTCTTTTTTCTTAGTGAAAAGGAAAAAAGCTCTATTGAGTTACATATAAAACCTGAGTTTTCTGTTGCTGCTTCACTGACTGAATAAATACTAAGGAAATATTTGGTAATGTTTTCAATTTTAATATGGTAATATATGAGCACATGTCTGAAAAATAACGTTCTGAGGCGACTTTTCAATTGGTGAACATCCAGTCTAGAGGAGTTATGTGGGCTGCATGCAGTTCTGCAGAGTCTGTGTGAGCTACTTATCTTTGGGGTGTACATTTTGTTTATGATTTTCACAATGTTGGTCATTCAGTGGATGCTGAATAACTGCTGGTCTCAATCTTCAGCATAATCATTTACTTGTAAAGTGTTGACTTTATTTCCCCAGAAGTGTATGGAGATGACACAGATTAGAATTAGCACTTAGGTAAATTGCTTTTTCTGTACCTCTGTGAAGGACTATTCCTTTGTAGGGAAGCATGAAGTTTTTTTTACAACAGTTCTTTGACCTTTATTCTGATTTATCCTTTCTAAGAAATTTTTAGAGTGAAAATGTTTCAAAGACATAGTGTTTCCCTCTAGAGAGGACAGCCTTGTTTCATCTGGAAACAAATTGTATCGCCATCCTCCACAAAGGTTTGTTATTTAGGCTATTACAAAAGATTTGGTTTCCCTATAGTTGGGTTCCTCTAGTGACACAAAACCCAGTCCCCACATGCCATCTATCTGCCATAACAATGGTGCCACAGCAGGGAGGCAGGAGAGGACAAGGGAAAGCAATACCAACACTGGGCTCAACCTATTTGCTGTTCCATGTTCATCCCAGAAAGTTACTTCTTGCTCCTACCAATTAGAGGCAAGCTCATCTCTGATTTCTAACATCTTTCACTCTGTGTATTGATACCATGTAATTTTAGGAAGGTAAAAAAGAATCAAGGTCATTTTGAATCAGTGTAGCTACTTGAAATCAAATATGCATGGTGTGCATGATAAAACCATGAGAAGAGCAAGAGAGTTGAAAGATATATAGCATTACAGTTAGAGATATAAGATCAGAGCAAATTTCTAAAGGGTCCTGGGTACTGAAGTAAGAAGTTTGAATATACTTCAATGAACTCTTAAAAGGTAATTGGTTGATCTTCAAATAGACAATGATACAATAAAGGTGACATTTATGAATAGTCTTACATTGGGAAGATAATTGCAATATAAGACCACATTAAGAGGCGAGAAAAATCTCAAACAATTTGATACTAAACTTAAAGCAACTTAAAAAAGAGGAACAAACAAGACCCAACATTAATAGAAAGAATAATAAAGAACAGAAATGAACTAAATACTGAAAAGACTATGTAAGATTAACAAAATTAATAGGTGATTCAAGAGGATAAAATATATATGACACTTTTTAGGCTAACAAAGAAAATTAGAGTGAAAACATTAATAAACAAGTAGAAAGAGGAAGAATTACAACATATGGCATAGAAAAACAAAGGATCACAAGATATTACTA